CACGTGCCTGGATGACCCGCCTGCCAGGGACGTCATCCCTCAGCCCTCGCTGCTGCCCGGGGTCCTGTACGACGCCAATCACCAGTGCCGCCTCCAGTACGGGGCCGGCTCCGCCACCTGGCCAGGAGGAGGCGGAAGGGGCCCCTGAGGGTCCCATTGGCTTCGCCCTGCCAGGTGCCAGGCCCTGGAGGGGTCCGGGGACTCGTGGGGCACTGGCTGGGGGGAAAGGGGGTGCCCGGGGAGGGGGTCAGCTTGTGGCCCTCATCCCCCTCCGGCAGGGCCCCTGCGGGATGCTCTGGTGCTCCGTGCTGCGCGCCTGTCAGACCAAGAAGGACCCAGTGGTGGACGGCACCGCGTGCGGGGATCAAAAGGTAGGGGCGCCGCGGGGGGGGGGAGCCGAGGGCAGGACTCACCCTCCTGGTGGGGACACCCTGGGCCCGGCCAGGCGCCCGGGACACCTGCTGGGAGAGGTGCGGTCTCAGGTTGGGGGGCCCCAGGCCCAGGGCTGAGTTCTGGGGGGACTGTCCCCAACTGTGCGGCTGTGGGCAACGCCCCCCCCACCCCCCACTCGGGAGGTGAACCTCAGAGGTTATTGTTATTTTTTTATTATTATTTTGTTAAACCTCACCCGGGGATATTTTTTCCATTGATTTCTTTTCTATTTATTTATTTATTCGTTTTTAACATGTTTTTATTGATTTCAGAGAGGAAGGGAGAGGGAGGGAGGGAGAGATAGAAACATCCATGATGAGAGAGAAACATCGATCAGCTGCCTCCTGCACGCCCCACACGGATCGAGCCGCCCCCAACCCCTGGCGTGTGCCCTTGGCCGGAATTGAACCTGGGACCCTTCAGTCCGCAGGCTGACGCTCTAACCACTGAGCCAAACCAGCTAGGGCTGCATTGATTTTTAGAGAGAGTGGAAGGGAGAGGGAGCGACAGAGAGAAACATCGATGTGAGAGAGACACATCCAGGAGTTGCCTCCTGCACGCACCCCGACCAGGGCCCGGGCCGGGGAGGATCCTGCCACCGAGGTCTGTGCCCTTGACCGGAATCGAACCCGGGACCCTTTGGTCCGCAGGCCGATGCTCTACCCACTGAGCCACACCGGCCAGGGCTTGTTATTTTGTGTTTGTTTGTTTTTTAATATATATTTATTGCTTTCAGAGAGGAAGGGAGAGAGGGTGGGAGGGAGAAAAACATCAACGATGAGACTCACTGGTCAGCTGCCTCCTGCACGCCCCACACTGGGGTCGAGCCGTGACCTCTTGGTTCACGGGCCAATGCTCAACCCCTGAGCCACTCCTCCCCTCCGGCCGGGCCGAATCTAAGAGGTTATTATATTTATTTTTTTATTTACCGGGAATCGAACCTGTGACCTCCTGGTTCCTAGGTCCATGCTCACCACTGAGCCACACGGGCCGGGCTGGACACTTCTCCTTCGTCCCTTTCCGGGCCTCCCCACCCCCACCTGTTTCCCACGAGGCGGGGCGTGAGGGACAGGCTTGGGGCGGTGGCCTCACCTCCAGCTCTCCCCGCAGTGGTGCCTGGGCGGGGAGTGTGTGTCGTTGGACGTGCAGCCCGAGGTGGTGGACGGCGGCTGCTGGAGCGCC